AAAAAAAAAACACCACAGCAAAAAAAGGAATGACATTATTTAGACAGAAAGCTACAACAGAGTTTCTTACAGTTTGATTAGCAAAGGTCTGGAGTGGCAATATTAGCAATGCATTATTTTGCTGCCTCACAAGTGGTCTTTAGAAAAATGTGTTCAAAGCGCACACATTTTGTTAGCCTGTTCAAACCCCATCAAGGCCAAAGAGATCTGTCAACCTTACAGCATACACATGTAAATCTCAATAATCAACTCTATCTGTTCCGAATAATGACTCAGAAGAGACTGAAGAAATAGAATTTTGATGTATGAACATTAGAAGAGGGTCGCCTTTTTAAGTTTGCCAATTTAATAACAGATTTAAAGAGCACCCGTAACAGCCAGATTAAACCATAAAAATAAAACTCTCGTGCTCCAAAGATGTGTTTCCTTTTGAAATATTTACAACATATATCTGAAGAGCAAAAAGGGAGAGAAAGTTACTTACAGCAGTTGACAGCCGGGATGCCAGGGTCATTTCCAAATTTCCTTTGAGACCAAGAAGTGCAGGAACCAAGATAAAAACTTCAGTAACATTCTTGAACACATCCCAATGCTATAGAAAGGATACAGTGGGAAACACTCAATTGAAAAATTCTCTTTAGACCATCCACAAAGTATTAAAAAAATTATCTAACTCACAACTGAAGCCTCTAAAACAAACAAACAAACAAATCATTCTTTATATATTAGACCTAAAAGTTTAAAGCCAGAACTGTTATCTACCTAGATAGATAGATTTGTGGCTGCATATTACTACTTCAAATATGAGAATACCAAAAGTCAGGGATACAAAACTTGGCCTTAAAACAAATATAGTTAAAAAAAGATGTCATTAATTTGAAGTCTCTTTTTTTCATGACTTTAAAATAGTACCAGGTGCTATGACTGCTCTTGAATTCTGCTCTTAATTTACAATAATATTTTCATCTTTTCCTTTTTGGCTGTGTAGAAACCGCACATAAAACCAGCAAGGAATTAGTTGTCAAATGAACAGAGCCTGTAAGTGAAAATAGCTTCTCTTTGTTCTTTTAATTCTAAGTGTGGCATTTAGAAAAGCACAGTTCTCCAACACCCAGATTTTATAAAGCAAACAAAGACAAACTATCCTGTAACTTTTTGTGTGCACAGAACTAATGTGTTACTTTGTATGTCTGTCAATCTGTGTATTTAATTTGTAATTTGAATTTGTACTTAAATTGTAATTTTAACAACTTTAACTAAAGCAACAAAACTGCGAATTGTCTTTACATTCATGTATTTACAGTCATTTAAATTGTTATTTTAACTAAAATAAAAGTATTCAATTCTTAAATGTAAACAAGATCTGAGATTTTCCTTTGTATCAAGTTACACACATATTTAGAACTGCAAAAGAATAGCCATAAAATTGTTTGTAAAAGCAAGCTTAGAATGCTTTCTTGTCTTCAGATTTTCATTTTCAAAACATGTTCTGTGACATTTCAAAATCCTGCTTTACTGACATTGCAGATTAATTCTCAGTTTAAGGGGGAAAAAAGTAGCGCTGACACTAGCTATTTATTTTTGCCTTTGTGTCACATCTGTCTCATTCATGCTGAGCTGCACTGGGAAACCAATCTAGATTTAAAGCAATATAGAAGGAAAAAATCAAAATATATCAGCCTAGCTCAAAAAAAGCAGCTATATAAACACATTCCCTTAAGAAAAAGAAAGACAAGGTGATACATTTGGTTGGAAGTCAGTAGTGGCAGTAGGCATCTTTTGGCTAATCATTATGCTGTATCATGAAGTAAACCATATACTATCAGAATACAAACAAAGCATCTGTCCAAAGAATAAATTGATAAGATGCAAATGAACAAGAATGAAAATGCAAACGAAAAGCACAAGACTGGTGTAAAACAGTGCAAGGAAGCAATAAAGTTTGCTTGTCAATTTTTATTTTCCTTTTTCTTGATGTATAAAAGTGACTTTTGATTGCAATTGATTGAAGTCAAGTTTCCTTTACACTTTCAAGATTCCGAGTGACAAAGATGGTCACCTCTTACCCCTCTTTAAAGTAACTTTGTAAAACCTTAAGTGCAGCTAAAGAAAACCATAAAGTTGAATGAAACAAAATTAAACAAAAGAAAAAAGCAGATTAATTTATCTACTGTCTTTCAGTTTGAATATTGTGGTTATTTCATGTTTTTGAATAATTTTTTGCAAATCTACTCATACAGGAAGAGAGAATCCATGAGGTTTGCATTTATAAGAAATTCCTGGGTTTTAAAAAGAAGTAATTGGGTAGGAAATAAAAGTAAATATAGCCTTCAAAATGCAAAGAGAAAGCAATAGAATAAGCCAGTCGAATAAACCTTTTTTAACTGCTATTTTCTCCAGATTTTTCTTCAAACATCACCACATGCAGAATTATTTCATAAGCAACTGTTACTTTTAACTCCACTGAAATGTCACTGACATCTACAAGTGTGTTAAGATAGAAACCGGTCCTAAAATGTTCCATATCAGTAGAATCTTAGGGATATAATACACCAAAACAGGTTTAAAAATATTATTAAACTTAAGTCTTAAAATTCAGAGAAAGTTCTACTTTATCTTAGTCCTGAATAACTATCATCAGTTAAATCATCTGCCATAAACCAAGACAATCCAGCTCGTCTGTGACTTTGCAGCCCTTTCCATGTCACTGATGTTTGTAATTCCGAGTGTTCAATTTACGTAATGTTATATAAAAAAAAGTCACTTACGTACACCTGAATATTCAAAAATGCTTTGACTCACTTCATATGAATTTCATATACCGTATGAATGCAATGCACATTTTCCTATATCATCTGCATTATCATGCACCAAATTACACAGTATTTCAGAAATTGCATAGACTTGAAGCACGCAAGGAGATGAGATAATGCAATAAATTCTTCTAACCTTTTTAAACTCCTGTGTATTCCGGCATCATGGTTAATTGCAACTCCCATTTGATTATGCATACATTTGTTAGTGTCAACAGAATTTGGAACCATTATTATATTTCTATCCTTAGTTAAAGCAGAAGGTAACAGTTTTATTCACCAGCCCACCATGTCTAAGCCACAGCATTTACCAAGACTTGAATGACTTCAAATTAAACATTGGAATTGTTAAAGAAGATGTTTGGGGAAAAGGAGCATAATGTAACACAACCATAAACAGACCTAATTACACCTCAATATTGTAAACATCTACAATAATCATGTGTTAGAATTATAAACCCCACAGGCTACCTGTTAAAAAAGCTGCTTTCAAAGCAAATACCAACCTGTACAATATCCAAAACCATGCCAGCAGAAACAGTTCCAAATCCTGCTAGCAAAAACGGTACAAGTATCTGTAATGCCATAATACTGCTAGATTCTTTGGGTTGTTTTCTACTTCCTTCCACAATGATGTCTTCGTTGCTGTCACTAGATAGGTTGTCTTCCTGCAACATGGCATCTGTTTCTGAGGCATCCATTCCATCACAGTAATTATAACTGGTAAAATCATCATATTTAGGGCTACAGCTAGATGAGCTGTGTCCATTACTACCATGAAAACTTGGTTCTGAAAAGTGATGGTACTCTGTGTGTTGTTCAGACCTAACATTAAAATTGTGTCCTGCTGGTTGTAATCCCTCTTGCCAGACACCGTTGGCTTTTTTGTGTCTTTCATCCTGGTTTATTTGGTAAACAACAGGAACCATACTCAAAAGCAGTCTCAAAAATTTATCTGACTGAATTGTATTAAGATTTATGGTCCAGTTTACAAAACCTTCTCTGTCATGAACTTTGCTATTTGTTTTGGAGATAGTAGATCTACCTTTACAGTTAGTCATAGTGCTACGGAAGTATAGGTTGAAAAGCACTTTGTTCTTCAGACGTCAGTGAAGAAATCTTGTAGATGAGTCATCAAGCCCCACACTTGATGATTTAAAACAAATAAACCAAAATGATCCTTTTTTGCATGCAAAAATGTTTTTTCATTGATCTCAGATCTTCAGCAATTCCATAAGCTAGACTGGATCTGTAAAAAAGAAAAGCATATGTATTCAATATTTAAAATATTTTAACTCTACGGAACTTTCAGAATACCCAGCAAGTAGTCATAAAAATGCCAGTCTTCTCCAACGTTCAACTACCTAAGTAGAAAGGAATTAGAAGGTCAAAAAGGGAGAGTTGGTGGGTGAGGAAGTTTCACAAACCAGTGTACTTTCACTGGAAAGAAAGAGACAGCGATGTGACTGTATGTGAACCACTGAGGGCTTAGCTTTTGCCTTTTCAAAGCCCAGGAAGTCAAAGTTTTCAGGCAGATGCTGTGTGTAGCCCCAGATTTCCAGTAGCCTCCAGAATGCAGTAGGTCCCCGGAGAAATGTATTTCTGCAAGGTGCAAGGCTATGGACAAATGGAACACACATGATGCCCTGTTCCTCCTCCCACTCTATGTTAATGGGAAGGAACATGAGAAAAATAAGGAAAAAAACCCCGAACTTTCCAAATGCTATCAGGGGTGATAGGCTCAAAGCAATATTCTGAGTGGCAAAGGTCTTATCTGTTAACTGCCCTCCATCCCCATAAAAGGATGACAAACTGATATTGATACATACAATTCAAAAGCAAGCTAATTTAAAATCATAGTAATCGAATTTTCTCTGAAGCAAGCATACTAATTATGTTAAATATAAAGAGCTACAATGTACATAATAAAACTGGACATTTTTTCATTAAATACTATAATATCAAGGAAAGGAGACAGTAATGAAATTTGGACCAATTAGTCTAAAATATTTTAAATTAGTCTAATTTTAAAATAAATCTGCAGTACTGTATTCATAAATATGGCATATTAAAATTTAATTAAAATTAGAAAAAAAGTTAGGAGCTAGGATAATTAAAATAAAAGCATTCAAAGGGATAATTAAAATAAAGGCATTCAAAATCTGATTTTAATTTAATTTTGCATGAGGTGTAGGTTGCAGATATTTCCAGAAAGGCAGGGTATATGGCTGTCTAGTAACCACTAAAACGTAATTATTTGATCAACAGTAACACTTGCTTTGGTCACTTTGTTTTGCTTTCTGCAGATTATACAAATACAATGTATCTTTAATGTGATTTAATGTGCATTTATTTCTACTGTGACATTTCCATCAGGGTAGAAAATTAAACAATGATACATTGGCAGTCTCAAGTCATTTGACATTTCCTCCATCAGAGGCCACTTTACGTTCCTCTTCCTCAGTTTTCATGTTGTGATAATATTTATGGTAATTTACTAAAAGAACAACCTTAATTTGACTTGAAGCTTTGTTGACCTTGGTACTTATTACTAGACTCCACGAATACAAATAAATGATTGGCAGAAACAAAGAAACAAAGGTCAGGCACACCACAGCAGCACGATGTGGGATAACACAATTCCACAAGCTCTAGACACTGTATCCCTGCAAAGCTGTGAAAATATGTTTCTACAGACTGCAGGAAATAAAAATTGTTTAGAGTTGGAGGATTTTTCATCTATGTTTCCTAAGAACACCAGGCCCCTAAACATCATATAATTTATGTTATGATCCCTATACTTTCCCTACCTCTGTTTCAATGTTTTTAAGCCATCCAGAATTTCTGGAGCAATTTCAGATAAATTTGACAGAGAGTAGAGATGTCAAAGCTTTTATTAATGAACAGCCTTATAAGAAATCCAAATGTGTGCCCTTGCTGAAAGGCGTATTCAAGCATCAGGCAGGATAATTCACTCACATACAGCCACAGCAAGTCCACTTCAAAAGTCCTGCTGGTTACAGAATTACTTATTTTGGTTTTATGAGTGAAGAGACTACTCAGACACATGAAGATTTTCCCTCTATCAATGGCTTTATCCAGGGGAGCTCTGACCAAGAAACGAGTATTTTAAAAATGACAGTGGAGTTTATTGCTTGATTTAGAAAGAAGTTTTGCAAGAAAAAGAAATCTTTTTTCCACAAGACCAACAGAGGAACTTAAGTAACCAGGATTCCTGCAATACCTTTTGCTGCTCTGTAGCGGATTGTGCTACATTGAACCTTTTAGCATAAGCGCATAAAAACTCCTAGGCATCAGTTCTGGTTTCCACACACTTTAATTAGGAGTAACCAAACAACTTTTGCTGCTACCCCAGAGGAGCTCTAACCAAATGGTGCTCTGTTAAGTGCTACAGAAAGGCAGAAAAAGAAGAGGTAATTTTGTTTCTTCCTGAGACAAAGGTGCCATTATCTAAGTAAAAGATATGCTGCATAAAAGAAACAAAAAAACAAACAAACAAAAACCAAGCAGAAACAAATGTATCATTAAACTAGCAAACTATTATCAACTTCTACGACAACGTAGCAAAAGCAAAGAGCTTTATTGAAGGATTCAGAGGAACAGAAAAGTTCATGGAAGTTGGGGAAAATAAAAATTTCGTGAAGGGTATAGCCTAGGGTGTTGAACTGATTTAGGGTGCCAACTGTTTTAGGATGATGGGAAGTGGCCCATGGTTTAGGAAGCTTGTAGGGGGAAAAGCTTTGGATCGCTTCAACTGGCTGAGTTTCAGTTGGTCACAAAAAACATCTACATTAGAGAAACTTTATGATAGAATTCAAGAATGGGATGTACAATTAAGATGTAAAAGTGTCTGTGATGAAAGACATATACTTAGACCCACAGCAACCTCACAGGGCTTTTTTGGGGTGTGGTGGTGGGGTTTTTTTGGGGTGGTAGAGGAGTAACAAATGAAGGATTTTATTTCACTCACAGGGAAATACATTGAGAAAATTTCCCAATAGCTTTAACGAGGCAGAGTCAGGCTCTCATTGTGGTTTCTCCAATGTGTCCTCCAGTCACATCACCAGAGTGCTAGACCAGTGACTCACAGGAATTATTCATTGGTCTGGAATTCTGGCCAAAAATATTTAGGTTAATTATCCATATTTCTCTAACATATGGAATTTTTTTCCTTTTAAGGTTTTACTATCTCTTTTTTTTTTCCTTAAGAAACAAATCTTTTGGGAAGACTGTGATTTCACTTATGAGAAAGTGTCAACAAATAGAAATGGCACTTAGAAGAAAAAAAGAGAGGAAAAGAAAAATAGTTTTGTAAACTAGCAAGTTACCAAGGGAGGAAGAGGTTGGCATGGACAGCTAACAGTTGAAATAGTACAAGGGAGTTTGGATGAGAGTCGTTTATGTTTATCCTACCAAAAAGACCTGGAATGACAAAAAATGAGCTAATAATAAATGCTGAAAAATGAGAATTTAAGACAAACTGAAAAATATATTACAGTGAAGAGCAACTGCCTCCTCAAAGCATACAGAGAGGAAGCCTTCTGAATATAACTATTCATTTCTGAAAACGTGTTCCAACAAAGATAACTTTCCAAATGTCAGCTGGTGCAATAATTTTATCCTGAGTTAAGGGTTGCTAATATTGCTGCACTTTTAGGAGGGTTTTTTTGTAGCTATAAAATGCAGCAAACCATATGAGGAACAGTGCGACCTCAAAGACAAGAACTCCCTAAGAAGTCTTATTATTGACAAGAACACTGTCAATTTTATTGTGTTGTCTAGAAAAGACGTAGCCAGCTAAAGAAGCAAGCTCTACTCGCATAACTCATATGAGGAAAAGGAAGTAAAAATCTCAACAATCCTATCTCCAGTTTCTGTAGGAAGAGAAGACAAGTGAATCTGGGTTCCTGGCATCTAATCAGGAGGTTACAAAGAAAGGTGAAGTACTCAAAAAATGAAGAGAGAGTGACAAAGACCCTTTGAGAAGCCAGGAAGCAGCCTCAAATTTATCATATCTGGCATGTTATATATGAAATGAAAGGACACCTTGTCTTTGTCCCTAGAAGCAAAATAATGAGCTACGCCCAGGCTATGAATATAGTAATTTCCACTTCTTTATTGTTTCCTAAGTATCTGATTTTAATAGCTTCTTCTTTTCCTTCATACATTTTATAACGCATAATTACTGTATATTATTCCCCTCTCTTTCTCAGTCATGCAAACATATACAAGCATAAACAAATAGTCCTGCAAACATACAAAATGGGAAATACAGCCATACCCTGCTGTTTGCTGAAGACATGTTCTAGAAAAGTGAGACACTTAGCAATCCAATGGATAACAGACCAATTTTCCCCATAAGAATTAATAAGACTGATGCATACAGCAATTTAAAAAATACACACAGACACAGTATATACGATGTGGGAAATAGACAGGCAAAAACCAGGAAAATACACAAGACCATGAGCTGGAAGAGACACTGACTTTTGGAAATGCATAGCTATTTTAGAAAATCTCAGATACTTCAGCTATGAAACTGTACGTCTGATCATTATCACTTTTTTTCCATCCTGCACCTTTGATTCGCTTGATTGGTCTTGATTCATCTGAGGAAGATGAAGATGACAAGGAAAATGTAACTACTCAGGAAGAGACAGCAAGAATGCTCTTCGTTATTACCCAAATGAATTGCCAACATTGCTTCAGTCCTGACTGAACCCATCAGTCAGTTCTCAAGAGCAAGGAAAGGAGATGCTTCTTCCATACTTTTCTAACATTTAAAGAACATCCAGCAATAGCAGGCTTAAGGGATTCATTTAGTCATTTAGTGATTAGTCTGCTGATAATTTATTTAAAGCATGGAAACAATTAGGAATTAAATCATCATGCTTTTAAAAAGTACCTCCAAAAAAGGGGAAAGGGGAACAGTGGTGAATTATGGAGTATGACACTTTTGTAGAGTCAACATTACAACAGGCTAAACCAAATATTTATCAAAGTCTAGGAAAATTAATTTCTTTCAGGGTTTAGCTAACAAAACCAAAAGATAACACTTATCTAAACAATACTGAGGGCTTTCACAGGATCTAAATCTAATCACACCATACTCAAAGCCCATTTTTCCTAAAAGCTGCCAACATTTTTTACAGGTAATCTTTTAAAGCAAGAATAACCTCAACATTGCACTTCCAAGTAGCCTACAATGAAACACAATAGCTTAAACATGCCTGCCTGAGAAACACCTCTCAGTACAAGAATAAGCCTCAGAAAGGGTTATTCAGGAAAGTAATATGAAACAGTAACGAAATACTGAGCTTTAATATTTTGCCATAATAAGCAAAGATGAAGCTGGATTCTTTTCTGGCTTCAAAGATGAAGCCAGACTCTTTTCAGTGAACGGATGAGAGGTCATGGGCACAAACTGAAACACAGAAAATTCCATTTAAACATAAGAAAAAGCTTTGTTTTACCATGAGAGTGGTTGAACACTGGTCCAAACAGGTTATGGACTTTCCATCCTTGGTGGTATTTGAAACACAACCGAACATGGCCCTAAGCAACCTGCTATACTTGACCCTACGCTGAGCAGGGGTGGTTGACTAGATTATTTCCAGAGAACCCTTCCAACCTCAACAACTCTGAGATTCCATGAAGTTTGAAATGTGAGGGTTTGGGGGACTTTTTCAAGTTCAGAATAATATTTACACAGGTGATATAGGGATCCACACAGCCTCTTTTCCACTATTGTGTCCTGCACACGTAGAAGTTCCCAGAATCTCACTCACGTCCTTATCACAGCCGTGGTTACTCATTTACATCTTTGTATCCTTGTGAATATATCGGCATAAAGTGAAAGCTACTTCATATCACCTTAGCACATATAAAGAGTAAACGAACAGATTATATTATCATTAACCATTTTGTAGAAGCTGGAACCCAAGGTGCTGCAAGATTATTTTTGCCAGATATTTAATGCTGGGTATTAAAGACTGGAAAGCACACTGAAAATTAACAATGTTACATGTAAAGCAGATAAATGGGTGTTATATACAATTTCTTAAATATTTTGCAGCAAACAGGATAACATGGTGTTTATTGTATGGCAGTTGTAGGTTAAATCAATAGCAAAAGAAACAAAAGAAAAAATAATGAGAGGAAAAAACACTAAAGACTCTCCAGATGCCTTTTTGAATATAAGACACTAAAAGAGCTGCCAGCCTCGGGCTCAGTTTTCAGACAAGTTTGAGGCTGCTGCATTCCACTTCCTGAACACGGTAGCTTTCGATTTTGGCCCCAAGAAAGAGAAAAGCAGCTGTCAGAAAAAGGCTTGGTTTGCCTCTGCACTTTTAAGGCTACTCAACCAGAAGAGACTGAAACCGAGCCACAAACAAAGTAGCAACGCTGGGAAATGCGGTCAGGTTGTAAAATCACCCAAATAGAATACCAACATGAAATATACCAGGCAAATCACATCCAGCCTATGAAAAGCAGGTGGGAAAGTTTGAAGATAATGCAGTCCTATAGATTAAGTAACCAACTGAAACTTACCAGAATGAGTCCCAACTGTACTATTTGGGATCCTGATTACAGGTTTCTACTGTCATCACCAAGGAGGGATGAATTGCTTATTAACTCAGGCACTAGGATACAGACTTCACATTGTTTTTTGTGGATAATACCCTGAAGTATTTGAAAAGAAAATGATACGCGGTTATTTTCCCCTCTGAAGTATCTACCAGTCATAATGTAATATTTATGGTTCCAGTTTCACAATCCCTGTAAGGCAGTGTATGTAGGGAACGCTGCCAAAACAGGTCTTCCCACCTGCCCTCATCTTTTTACCAGCTATGCTGAACTGGTAAAGTAGGATGTCTACTGAAGCCTGCTAGGATTCTACCTAGAAAATATATATGAGCAGACTATTTTCAGGTATTTATGTTTTGTGCCTAACACTAAGACTAAACAATTAATTTTATGTGTTCCAGACTACCACACTAACCAGAGCCTGGTTAGTGTGAGCTATAATCTAGGATCCAATGTGAGTGAAGAAGATACACAACCAGACAGTGGGGCGAGGGGAAAATAATATTCACTGCAATTAAAAAAAAAAGGACATAGCTACAACTTGGACTTACTTGACAATTAACGACAGAGTAGAAAGTAGAGTAAGTCACAAAAAGCCCCTATTTGGAGGCAGAAAAGTATGGAAAGAGCATAAATGTGCCATTGCGTGTTAATTACACCACTTGTACACCAAAGAAGATGACGGTTGAAGCTATTCGTGCACAGGCTCCACGCGGTGACATCTGTGGTGACAGGTTCTGGCGTATTTTCATGGGTGCGAAGGTGGGAAGAGGAATGCGAGCACAGAGGGACGTAGGGAATGGGGACCCAGGGAATTGGGGGCCACCGGGAACCTGGGGCAGATGTAGAGGCACCAAAGAAAGGGCTCATTGTCCAGCCGACCCGGAGCCCCGCGGAATCAAGTGCACCTGATGACAGGAGCTGCGGGGGTGCCAGGAGGGCAAAGGTACCGGGGGGCGGGTGGCCTTGTCCGTGGGTCGGTGGGACACCCGTGGGCCGGCGGGACACCCGTGGGCCGGCGACCAGCCCGGGGCGGGGAGGAGGAGGCTGCAGGGTGCGGGACGGGGCTGAAAGGCGCACGGGAAGGGAAGGCTTTGGGGCGGGCGGCGGTCCCAGGGCCCGGAGGGGACGCGGGCCGTGGGGCCGGCACCGCGCCTGGGAGGAGGAGGAGGAGGACGGGCGGCCCCGCAGCCCCGGCATTTGGGGTGCTGCCCCCGGGAGGATGGAGGGGAGGGGGTTCCTGGCAGCTCCGCCGCCGGTGAGGAAACTTTCCCGCCCGCCGCCTCCCTCGCCCCGCGGCGGCAGGTCTCCGGCCCGCCCCAGCCCCTCTACCCTGCCTGAAGCCCCCACCCCCGGTAGCCCCCACCCCGCCGCCGCTGCCGCCCCCCCGGGCCCCG